GTGTAAAACACCCAGAAATGTCACGGAAATTTACATGATCTACATTTTGTCCGGATACTTTTGGCAGGTGAGTGTATTAATATTAAAAAATTTTCACGTTTTTTTTGCATATCAATCAATTTAAATTACGTCGTTAAAAAAAAAAAAAAATCCTATAAGAATATTATATAAAGGCTTTAAATATTTCTTGAAAATTTTATATGTAACCAACATTATCACCAACACCGATCAAATTTAATATTCTTTGTTATTATTATAAGGTACAAAAAAGAAATGAATACCGAATGGATAATAAAATACTTGATGAAGGAACAGATGCAATAATGTGAGAAAAAAGAGATCATCATAGAAAATAAATGACAACTAATTAGAAAACATAAAATGATGACTGTAATTAAATAACAAAATAAACAAAAACGAAGGAATCTATTTTTTTAATTCGAATGAACTTACTAGAGATTGAGCAGTAATATAAAAACAAATGTTTATTCATTTATTTATTTTGTTACGTTTTTTCAAATGTTTATCTCCAAATATTGTTGACCATTCTTTGTCAGATAATTCTTCTGCCTTCTGCGCTGATGATTGATTTATATATAAAGATAAAAATACTCATTTTTTTTAATAAGGTGTTATATCAGTGCATCAAACACATCTCATCATTCTTCTTCGGTAATTATGTGATCTATATAATATATAGAAGCAAGCTATGAAATAAATTCAATAATAGTTATTGCTTCCATCAAATAAAAACTGATTCCAGTTTAAATCACCAAGTGTTGCTACAAAAATTAACACCACATGATTTGTAATAATTCAAATGAAAAAAATAAAACACCTACCCGTAATGTTGAACTGTTTGAATAATAAATTCATCTCTGTTAAGCCCAACCTTAATTCTCATTTTTGTGTATTTTGAATTCTTTTTGTTAGCAAAATTCCACCAAACAGCAAATGGACCATAATAGATCTTTCAATTAGTTTTGTGTAGGTACGATTAATTTATGAAAGTAGTGGGATTTGAGAGAGATTTTATTTTAATAATAATAATAATAATAATAATAATAATAATAATAATAATAATAATAATAATAATAATAATAATAATACTAATAATAATAGTCATCCAAAAAAACCTCCTATACGGCCTCCGCACAATACTACACCTCCAACGGACGCGCCCGCCGCTCCCCCC